TTGTATGGATATTTTTTATTTTTATTTATTTTGTTTATTTATTTATTTTTTTTTTTCGATGAAAATTATGCGTCAAGGGGAAGTCGCAAGAGTAAAATGTGTTGAATTTTTTTTCCATTTTTGGAAAATGGCGAAATGTTTCCACGTTCCAAGCTCCTTTCCATTGCACATTTACTTGAATTCGCTCGAACGTTTGGCCACACTCAACATAGCAAACTTGAAAGTCAATGAGTTAGCCAAGCATAAATCGCAAGCGCTATGGGAACCGGCTGTTCGAACGTGCAAATACCACCAAGAAACCTAACAAAAAAGTACAATATTCTTCTATTCTTTTCTTAACACTTCGCTTTATCAAAACCAGATTATACCTGCATTACTTTTATCCCCACTTTCTCTCTCTCTTATTACTCACTCCATTCTTTCCGGACTGTTTTCGACCTGGATTTTCTTTGACCCCCTGTCGAGAGAGAGAGCGACCAAATGCCTTTCACGTATTTTCCAACCAATAAAACTTGATCGACGTTTTAGAACAAACAAAATTTTCTCTTTTTAAATCCCCCCGATAATATTATTATCGTTAAACAACCAAGCACCTTTCATTACTCATCGATTTCTCATCTTCAAAATTTCTATTCCTACTCACAAATTCTGAATTATAAATATCGAAAATAAATCTCTTTTATACCATTACTCATCGTTCAAACATCGAGTCGGTTCAATTCGCCAATTTCTCGAATCTCCTGAAAATTCTTCAAATTCTTTCCACGATTAGCCCTGAAATACGTACAAAAACGCATACACTTTCCGCGCAACTCCACCATTCCATCCTATCTCCTTCGCGATTATTCATCCCCAAAGAATACCGATACCGATTTCTCCACCCTCCGAACTTATTGTCCCTGGCCGTATTGTGTAAGGACACGGTTCGCGTTCAGCGAACAGTTTCGGTTGGTGTGGGTGTCGATGAGATAAGCGAGGGCAGCTCGAAAAGAGAGAGAGAGAGGAGACGGTGGAGAAAATGGAGCAAAGGAATGGGAGAGGAGGGGTGGAGGGAAGGAGAAGGCCGACGATTCGAATCGTCCCGCGGCCACGAGTTGCCCGAGGACTCGCCACGTTTATCGACCGGCGAATCGGCCTCTCTGTCGCGCTTAACGATCGGATAAATTTATAACGCGAGGGGGCGAACACGGAGGCGATTTCGACTAATACGTCCTGTATAAACGTCGCTCGAGACGTTCGTCGATAATGAACGGCCGCCACGGTATTCCTCTCGAGGAACGAGGGCGCGATAAATGAGGAACAGAGGATCATCATATCGGATGTTTTATTTTCCACGGTTGAAAGTTGCGTTTGCAAGCTTGGCGTTTCGATCGAGGTTTATTTTAAAGATTTTAGCCTCTTTCCCTTCGTCTTTTTTGATATAGCGTACGATGTAATGTAGATTATCGATAATAATTCCAATAGATTCTAGAGATTAATTGAGTAGACGAGATATTAGATAAAATTGATCTTTTTTAATAATAATAGTAATTAAAGTTTAGAGGGAAATGTAGAAATATTTTGATTAAATCAAACGGGAAAATGAAATACTATCTTTATGAATAATATTGTCCGCGTTAGTAGATAATAACTGCAATTGCTTCAAATGCGGCACGCTATCATCTTACCAGTGGAAAAAGAAAAGAAAAAAAACAATCACACGTGTGAATAACTGACTTCTCGCTCATCTCAAATTCCCTCGAATCATCACTACCGACCAGCTTGATGATTCAGCTGCCTGTCTTACCGCTGAACGTGCACGGTGAAGAAGAATCATTTCTACACAGCCGTTCGAGGAAATTTTCGATGCGAGGCGAATCGAAAACCGATTTTCTAAAAATTCTGGTGGAAAAGAAGAGGTGTAGGCCCAACGCGAGAAACGCGTTGTCAGTTTCGTTGCGAAAATAATTCGAAAAAAAGGAACCAGCTCGAAAAATATAAAACGTTGGAACGAACGAGCTGTTTACGAGGACAAGTACAAGGATCCTCGAGCTCAAAAATCGGGCCCCTCCTCGACCGGCCGATACCGGTCTCGGGCCACTCGAGTTATCGTTTCTCAATCGATTCGACCGCCGTGATAACCTGATTTAACGCCATGAGTCGGTGACACATCGAAATGGAAAATCGATGGAACGGAATGCGTCTCTTTGTCTCGTAAATCGACAAATCCCTGTGCGGTCCTTAACGTGACTTCATGCTCATCTTAATCACTTTCGATCGTTGGAGAAATTATATTTCCACGTTTACGATCGATCACCGTTATGCATTCACAGAGAACAAAGATCGAGTGAAAAGGAATCAGGTATAGGAGACAATTTTAAAAATGAATCCTTGATTTTAATGAGATATTCCCAAAAATTACGGGAAGTGATACGAATATAATTTTGCTAATCGTTCGTAGCAAATTCTCCTTTTAAAATTCCTTTTCGTAAATAAACGTATTTATAGCCCATAAAAATGAAATTTTCAGAATTTCTTCTATCTTCTTTACATCCTTTCGGAAGTAATTGATTTAAAAAATATATATTTACGGAAGAAGAGCTGGTGTTCCTTAGCATTTAAAAGGACAATATTTCAGAGAAAATTCTTCAAAATTTTTCTTCCAACAACATTCCTTCCAATTGTTCTCAAATCTGTTCAATTATGGACCGTGATCGCTTCGTTCCATACCCAGAAACACCTAGACACCTAGAGGACGAATTTACAAAATTCTCATTCGCATCACAGGACGCGTATCGAAAAGGAAAGATTGGAAATCGCGTTCGTGGATCGCGAACTGTATCTCGATGTTCACGAGAGGAATCAAGCTATCGATTGGACGAGAGGTCGCGTGGCGGGATCATTAACGGTGCGCTAGCATCAATCCTCCCTCTCTCGGGCGCAAAAATGCCTGGCCTACGTTGGTGAATCGTGCTCTAGGGGGCGGGGGGAGGAGGAGGATGAGGGGTGCTCGCACACAATCGCGCCGGTCCCTCGCTGCACGCACGTGCGTGTGTGGGTTCCAGCACGCGTGGGCGATGCTGTGGCACGCGACACGACCGTTACACGTTCGAAACTGACGGTGGCGGGGCGGCGAGAAAGGACGAGGGGTGAAATTCTGAAAGGGGAACCGGGCGGATTGCTGCGTATATGCACCAACACGCGCATGCCTCTTACTCGTCGGTGAGCACGTGAAAAGGCGGCTGTCGTGTAAAGGGAGGGGAAGAAAAAGAAAAAAGAAAAAAAAAGAAAGAAAAAACGGCGCAGCAGCCAATACGACACTCGAGAGCGCGCACTCTTATACGTATACATATATACATATATATATACATATATATATATAAATACACATTTACAGAACAACTTATTGGAGGAAGAAAGAAGTACGAGAACGAGAGGGGAAGATTCAGGTAGACCGAACGGAAATTCGAATAGAAAAATGTGAGAGCGGCACATTGGAGAGGGGAGGGGGAGGGGGAGAGAGAGAGGGTGCAAACGTATCCAGGTACGAGCGAGCAAGTTGGTTTAACCAGTAAGAGAAGGGAGACACGTTGGCGTTGAATCGGTGGTGCATGTGCACCGACGACAACGTAGAGGTGACGGGTCGTTGGGCCAGGTCTCGAGCAGTGAGGGGTAGTAATTCTGGAGGGGAGGGTGTGTGTCACGGTGGGGCCCCGGCATCTGCTCTCCGTACAACGACGCGACGCGGGAAGGAAGGAGAGAGAGAGAGAGAGCGAGACGCGGTGTCCCTGTTACTTTCCAAGTGGGACAGGGACGGTGGTGGACGAAAAAGGGGAAATGGGGAGGGAAAAAAGAAGGAAAAGGGTGGGAGCGAGAGGGGAGAGGCAGGAGAGGAGCGCAGCAGGATAATCGCGTCGCACTCACGTCGCATCCTGCACCTCCTGTTGTTGCACAGGAGAGGGAGTGGGGGTATACGCGAGTCGGCGGAACAGATGCCCTAGCTCTGATTGGCCGTTGGCCCGCGACCGGCCGTCCCCTATTGGCGGGTAGCGCGGGGCCCGCAGGCCTGCATTGGCCAGGCAGCACGTGCGGGCCACCTGCACCTGGTTGGTGGGGCGATGTGTTATAAAAGGCCCAGACGCACCCCCCTGCCAGTCAGAGACCGGCTTGCAGCCGAACTGTTTTTAGAATCTCGAGTTCTCACGTTCCTTCAAACATTGTACACTCGAGTTCACCCGCTAACCGTTTATCTCTTTCCTTTTTTCTTTTTTTCCTTTTTTTTTTTTCTTCCTTCCCCTCTTCCTTCACCTTTACTATCCTCTTCCTTTTCTTTTATATTCCGCTCGTGACATCGAATCACGTTTAACCTCCGGTGCCGGTCGAACAGACAGTTCAGTTCACTCCCGACGAGCGAACGGTGAACATCAATTTCCCGCTTCGAAGAAGGAACCATCGTTCCGTGTGTTTGCTACGAGAAAGTGGATAATTGTCGAGGAACGAGAAAGAAGAAAGGAGGACTGTTTTTTCACACTGTTCTATTTGGGACTAAATGTGACAGTGAAGTGATCAAATCCCAGAGGATTATCTTGACAATTTCGTTTTATCTCTGATACAGAGGAATATATACAATATATGCATATATAGATTTGGTGTGAATCAGTGCGAATCGAACAATCGGGAACAATTTGGGATTAAATATCGTAGTGTCACGGCTTCGCGGATATTCCATATACCTGCGAATCGCCGACGCTAATTTCTAAAGAGTGTGAAGATCACGGTGAAAAAAAACTTGTCAAGATGCTGGTCGAAGAAGTGCCGAGAAGTTTCGTGAAGAAGAACAACAATTACAGCCACTGTCCGTTGAAAAAACGGCCAGTCCATATGCTGGACGAAGAAGTGTCGGAAGTTAAAGGTGAGTCTCCTTCGATTTATTTGTTCATCACTTTTCCCCTCTTTTCCAACTCCTCTCCAATTCTCTCCGATTTCTCTTCAAATCCAAAAAATTTCAAATCCAAAAAAAAAAAGAAAGAAAGAAAGAAAGAAAGAAAAAAGAAAATCACCTCGCCTAAGACGAAGTTTCCTTTTTTTTCTTCTCCAGAAGAGATAGAAATCGATGTCGTCATGGACGATATACCCGAGCCAGAGAACCTGAGTACAAAGCCGGAAGATTTGAGCAAAACGGCGGAACGTAATCAGCAACAGGAGCAGGAGGCGACGGAGCAACGGGTGTCCAACGAGTCTCCTTCGCCGATCCCGAAAATCTCATCCTCGCCCCCGTTGATGACCAGGCCGACTTCTCCGAACGCGTTACACGGCCACATCCACCCCGTGCACCATATTCATCATCATCACCATTACCCGACAAAAGTGATCACGCCACCGGTTGGAATCGCGCCGATACACCCGGTGGCCAAGAAGGCGCGAGTGGAAGTAATCCAACACGATAATTCGTCGTCGACGGGCGCCGTGACGGCCACGCCCGCCCCCCTGCACTTCATGGCGAGCAAAGCGCCCCTCGAACCTCTCAATTTGAACACACCGGTCG